AATATTTTAATTGAAATTTTTCAATATTTTTTTAAAACACCTCTATTTAAAATTATTTCTTTAATTTTTTTTGGGATTGGTTGATATAAATTAATAATATTTTCTTGTTAATTACTAAACATATTTTTCTCAAATAAATCTTTAAAATCCACTTGAGAATACCCTATAATCTTATGAATCAAACGTATTTTAACACTCACAATAAATTTTCAATAATTATGAGGTCTATATAGTATTTTGGGATCAATATGACATCAATTCTATTTATTTTGTAAAAATTTTGAAAAATTTCTAAACTATTAATTGGAAAGTTATCTTGTAAATCATTAATATCTTAAACATTAAAGCAATATTCGCCAAGCTTGGGACCATACTTATCAATCAATACCATAAAATATGTCATCTATTTGTATTAATATAAAAAAAATTGTATCGAACCTGCACCTCTCATAGAAGAAAATTAACATGTATTCACAGAAACTCCAGTTGGTCTCTTTCTTGATAGAATATTATTTGAATGTTATCTTTAACCTTAAATCTATTTTTTAATTTCCAATTAATAAAAATATAGTTCAAATCAAGTTTCATCTGCAAAAACTACCCTTTTCCAAAATTCCACTGTGAGTCACTAAATTGTATGGCCCATTGATATCTTTACCTCTTTGCTTTTTTTGTGAGATAAGGCTTATATTTCAAACTTCCAAATGTAATAACTTGGCAATGGAGTGAACTTATTAATGTGTTATTTAAAATTTATTTATTATAATTCTTCCGAAGATATCGTTTAATTTGTAGAATATTATGATATATCTCATTTGATAATAAATTTTTTTTAACCAATTCAATTTAATCTTTCATACTTATTTTACTCTCTGGATATTTTTTGAGTTGAATAGGATCATTTAATGCATAATTTATCGAAATACCTTTAATTGTTGATCACCTGAATCCAATTATTTCTTCTTTTTTTTTAATTGTTACATCCATCTCCATAAAATTTTAATTTATTTTAATTTTTTCAAATTGATTAGGTCATATTGTTTTATTTATTATAGTTTTATTAAAACATAATATTATTATAATAAAAATAAAAAAAATATGAAAAGTAATAAAAAAAAAGATAAAAATTAATTATCTTTCAGTAAATATTTGACCTACTTTTTTTTATAAGGAAAATAAAAAAAAAATAAAAAAAAAAATAAAAAAAAATATAAAAAATAAAAAGACAGTATTTTTAAAAAATACATTATTTTTTATATATATTTGCCTTTTATTGATAAAATAAAAATAAAAAATACAGGATTTACACAAGAATTAAAATTATTGATCATACCCGGTCAAAACAATCTTGAAAATACTGTATCATCAACCTTAAAGCTTTAGAAAAGAACATTTAGTAAATCGATAATAATTAATAATTTTATAAAAAAAAAAAATAAAAAAAAAAAAATAATAATAATAATAGAATATAATAATTCAATCTATTTGACGGAAGAAATACATTTTCCCTGGCCAGGCAAATATATTGGAACATCAAATGATTTTAATATTTTCAATATCCTATTAATTCATTAAATATTCAAATAAAATATAATAAAATTTAATTTTTTACTTATTTATGTACAAACCAAATATCGTCTTTTTATAAATTATTTAAATTCTTTTAAAATTTTTTTGCAAATAAGAAGCAGGATTTCAATGGTTTCTGGATCATGCTACCACTATCTGTAGAAACAAAATCTGGACAATAAATAACATTTTAAAGGTAAATTTAAAAAAATAACGGATAAAAAAAAAATATTTAAAATTATTTATTTTATATTTATTTTTATTCATAAATAGATAATTGTATTTTTAATTATTTTTCATAATTTCTATTAATTTTTATTTAACAATAATATACACAGTGTGTGTAAGATTATTTTTTTTTTATCATTGTCATTATTGATGTAATTTAATTTGAAAATATTATTTAAATTTTAAAGTGCGGAAATCAAAGTTAAAAAAAAATAAAATTAAAAAAATAAAAAAATGAACCTATTATACACATGATTACTATTATTAATTTCATTCTTGTTGATTTATTTTATTTATTTATTTTAAATATTTAATTTTTTATATAATTAATCATTTTTTTTTTAATTTTTTTTTTTTTTTTTTTTTTTAATTTTTTTTTTTTTTTTTTTTTTAAACTATAACTTTATAATTTTTTTTTATTTATTTATTTAAACATTTTTTAAATAATAATAAATTTTTTTAGGACAATAAATAATAAACATAATAATAAATAATATATAAAAAATATTATATAAAATTGAATATGGATAACGCCGAGAGATTAAGATTTTTAATAAACATTGAAAATAGACTAATTAGATTCCAGCAACCAAACCAAGGGGACCAAAGAACAATGATTATGAGGCTAATTGACATCGAAAGAAGAATACAAAGATTTAGAAATCAAAATCAAGCCCACAACCATAATCCAACACAGCCACCACCACCACCAACATCAACCTCACAAAATGCACTTCATATAGACGAAAATATGAAGTGTAACAGATGTGAAATTACTATTACCGAGGGGCTACATTCTAATTTTGAATGTAAGTGCAAAAAATTAGCAAAAATACTAATTGCCTATAGAGCTGGTATTTTATTAAGTTCCCTTTGAAGAAGAATAAGAACTTTAATTGGTACAGTAATTTGCATAAGCTTTTGGCTGGGTATGGTTAATACAATTAATTATTGTGTAAATCCGACATTTTTAATTTTCAATAAATCAATTAAACGGTAAATATACATAAAAAACCACGTATTTTTTAAAAATACTGTCTTTATTTTTTATTTATTTTTTCTTATTTTTTTTTATTTTTTTTTCTATTTTTCTTATAAAAAAAAATAGGTTAAATATTTATGAAAAGATAATTAATTTTTATCTTTTTTTTTATTATTTTTCTTATTTTTCTTATTTTTATTATAATAACATTACATTTTAATAAAACTATAATAAATTAAACAAAATGACATAATCAATTTGAAAAAATAGAAATAATTTATAAAAATCAAAGCAATTCTGGAGTAGATTTTAAAGAATTAGTTGATGAAATTTGGTGTGGAATTGAACAAGAATGTATTGATAATTTATATGATTCAATTCCAAAAAGAATTGAGCAAATAATTGAAAATAGAGGTGTTTTCACAAAATATTTAAAGTTTTTAATCAAAATACCAAAAATAAAAAATATTTTTTTAAAACACTTAAAAATGAATTATCTTTTCAAAAATATTTAACCTATCATAAAAAAAAAAAAAATTAAAAAAAAATTAAAAAAAAAATAAAAAAAAAATAAATACAATTTTTTTATTTAATAAATCTTAAAAACTTTTATCTTTTTTATATTTATGAACCAATTTTATAATATAAAAAAAAAATATATAAAAGATATATTAAAAAAAAAAATTTTTGAGACCCAGCCAAAAGCTTATGCAAATTACTGTACTATTTTTTAAAATGAATGTTGTAGATTCTGGTGCTGTTGTTGTTGTATTATTGTAATAGATACTATATGGTTCTATGATATTTACTAGATATTTTAATAGTAATTCTAATGATTTAATTGATGATATTGAAAAACTTTTTTTATTATTTGTGTAGTTTGGTAAAAATGTTGGTACATTCATTGATAGGAAATACTCCAATGCTTCTATATTATCTAAAGAGTATGCACATTCTACTAAATCAAACATGTGTAGCTGTTCTTTTTTTCTTTTCTGTATAGTAAAATAAATAAATTTACATCGCTAAAAGTCTCTAAAAATGCTTTATATCTCTAGATTTTATTAATATATATTCGTTATTACATATGTTTACTATATAACAATAATCAATTAGTCAAAATGTTATTACCACTTACTTTTAATTTAATTTCTAATAAACTCCATATTTTCTTTTGACCATAAAGCCCAATGATCTTATGTTTAAATTTAATTCTATTAAAGTAGAATTGGTTTATTGTGGTTGCAGCTGCGGTTGGGAATGTTGGATGTATCTATTGTAATGTTTCTTTCTGCAATATCAATTGTACCACTTACTAAAAAATATCATTGTTTAAAACCATTCGAACTGTCTCTAATTTCTAATTCATTCAATATTTTATTTTTATTTTTTGATTTTAATATCTTTAAATCTGAAACTAATTGTCCAATAAAATCAATATCTAAAATTAAAATGAAAAATTAATTAAAATATTTATATTATTTTGTAAATAAATAGGTATGGTATCATTTAAATATGTGTATAAACTTACTTTTTGATTCAACAACTCTTAACTGATAGATTGTGTAACTATCACTTCCCAAAGAATCTAATGAAATTGTATAACTTATATCACATGTGTAATTATACCTTAACTGATGTGTCTTTGTATTTCACTTAATATATATTGTTTTTCCATTTTGAAAAAAAAAAAATTTATCATTACTATTATTATATGTTGTTATTATTATTATTATTATGGTAAATTCGGTAAATGATGATAAATTTAATAAAAAAAAAAAAATTCAAAAAATTCAAAATTAATTTTTTTTTTTTTTTTATTTTTTTTTTTCTAAAAATAAATTATTTTAAAAAACATATTTTTTTTTTTATCTAGTGATTGAAAATTATCTTTATCGTTATCCTTTTTTGTATCACTTGGAAGATTTAAAAAAAAAGGATAAAAGTGGATAAAAAAAAAAAAAAAAAGGATAATAATTTATAAAATTATAAAATATTTTTGTAAAAAAAAAAAAAAAATTGTTAAAATAAAATTGAAAATATACAAAGGTTTTTATTATTATAAGAAAAAATGATTATTATTATTATCACGCTTGTTGTGAACTCTTCCATCCTTTTTTTTATTGAGAATATCATATACAACATCTTGAATTTGACGATTCCATTCTTTGAGAAGATTACACGATTCAATGGTAGAGTCTTTTAGATGATGTCTTTTATGGGTAACATTAGAAGGTTTAAGAAACTATTTTATATTAATTAACTAGAATGAAAAAAAAAAAAAAAAAAACTTTGCTTTTAAAAAAAAAAAGAAAGAAAAACGAAAGATTAAAAAGCATTGTAAAACCTAGTGTTGATGCAATCTAGTTATTTTTTGGGTCTATTTATAGAGATAATTTAGAAAATGTGTAGAATAATATGTTTTTAAAAAAAATAATTGTAGAGTTCCAAAATTATCGCAAATTTTAAAAAAAAGGTAGAATTTTTTAAATTTTTTAAATTCTACCTTTTTTTTTTTGATTTGGATTTGTTGAGGTTTTAGTTTGACTAAAATAAATACATACATATTAAAAATAAATATAATTATGAATATACGTATATTATTATTTAATGTTGATTATTGTTTTTTTGAAAAAAAAAAACAAAAAAAAAAACAATAATTTGACCTTTTGTTTTGGTTTTGTATTGGTTGAGGTTTTTATTAATAAAAATGAAAATAATATTTTATTCGCTTTTAGTATTTAAAATGATTATAATTTTATATTATATTTTTAGATTAATGGTGATGTACGAAAAAATAAAAACAATGATTGGCATTATAATGTTTTTTTTAAATAAAAATATGAGTTTTTTTTTTTTTTTGAAATATAATATTGTCATTTTATTATTAAAGAGTGAGTTTGAATGTGAGTTTGTGTTAATTTTATCTGTGTATAAATTTTTTTTTTTTTGTATGTGGGTGTGTATCAGAGTCTAGGTGTACAAAAATGTAATTATACAGATCTGTTTTTTGTACATACAGATCTGTATAAATGTAATTATTTAAATTTATATACAAAAAAACAACAATTTCTAAATACATTTATTCTGAACATTCTATCATTGTTTGTCATATTTACATGTAATTTTATGTAAAAAAAATGGTAAAAAAAAAATGTAAAAATATTAAAAAAAATGTAATATGAACTTTTTAATAAAATTTTCATTTCAATAAAATTAAGATTTTTTTTTTCTTTGTATAAATTGCCAATATTAAGAATTATATTCTCAATTTTTTAAAATTATACTATAACCATCAAATTAACAATAAATAATTACCATTTTATCTTAATTTGTTTTATTTTTTATCTTAATTTTTGTTAGATATCTCGGATTCTGACATGTTATTAATAATATAATTATTAATAACATTGTATTTATTTAATTAAAATTTAAAAAGAAGCTCAATCTTTAATAAAAAATTATAGAGATAAAGAAAAAGAAAAAACTATGAAGAAAGGTTATAAAAGGAAGAATTAAAAAAAAATGTGGACAAAACTAAAGATGAAAGAAAAAATGAAAGAAGAAAAAGATTCCAACATTTAATGAATGTCCACCAGGATGATTTGGTTCTTTGGAATAAAATTGTATTACTTCAAATAATGCAAACTAAAATCCAAATGCGACGTCTAAATATTGAAAAGAAATATTTTAACTTATACCGAAAAGTTCAAATAAATAAATATAAAGATGACCCTTCTATTTATCAAGAAGAAGATGATGAGGTATATGATCAAGATTCAATCGATGCTATTGATGAATTATTTACAATGAAAATTCCAAAAACATCATATGTTGAAGACCATCAATCACCTTCTGATATAGAATCAAACGAACCAGGTAGTCAATCCCAATTAGAAAAAAATTCTCTTAAACCACTTCAAAATCAATCAAAAAAATCTTTTTTTAAATAAAACTATAATTTTTTAAATATATATTATTTTTTGTAAAGAGAAAAAAACTTTTTTATAATTTTATTTTTATACACACTTAAAATAATTTTATTTTTTTTCATTTTTAGTGATAATATATTTTTTTTATATACTAAAAAATTCATTCATTTTTTATGAAAGAAAACCGATAAACATGAATGAATTTTTTAGTATGAATGAATTTTTTAGTATGAATGAATTTTTTAGTATGGACGATTTTGCAAGTAGCTCATTAGATAAGTTTAATTCAAACAGAGCGGACTACCCAAAGATTACCAAAGAAGTTATAAAGAAATGTCTCAAGTATTCAAATATTGAAGATTTAGAAAAACCATTTAGAGAAATCAGTAAAGCTCGAAATGGGTATTAACTGCGATCTGACAGGTAATTAGCTGTAGGTATTAATGCCCTAACCCATGGGGTTTGATTCATGGATAATTAATTTGTTTTTAACTATAACTACCCATATTAACCTAGGTTTTTAAAAATAATATTGGAAAATAATTTATATATAACAAATACATAAAAAAAATAATTTTTTTGTAATAATAATTATAATATTTTATTTTTATAATAACTATAATAAATAATTTAGATTATTTCATATTTTTTAAACTATAAATCTTAAATAAAAAATTTTATATTTTAAAAATATTTTTTTTTATTTTTTATTTTTTTTTATTATTTTTTTTTTTTTATAATTATATTTTTATAATAACTATAATAAATAGTTTAGATTATTTCAAATTTTTTAAATTTTTAATCCTAAATCTTAAATAAAAAAAAAATAAAAAATAAAAAATAAAAAATAAAAAATAAAAAATAAAAAATAATATTTTTAAAATAAAAAATCTAAAATCTAAAATCTAAAATCTAAAATCAAAATTAAAAATAAATAATATATAATAAAAATTAAATTAAATAAAAAACAATGAAATAAAAAAACAATAAAATACAATTAAATTAAAATTTTATTTTTTTTTATTTATTTTTTATAATAAAAATGATTAACAATTAAATATCATTATCCATCAAATGGTTTAATATAGTGGTAATTGTTGAATGATGGAAATTACCATAATTAAACCAATTTCGTACCAACAGTAATGCTTGGATAGTTTCAAACTTTAGAGCACTTCGATTTTTAGTTTTGATATCTGGCAAATCTGAAAAATATCTTTCTAAGGTGATATTTGAGGCAGGTATACTCATATAAATATATTGATATAGATATATGATTGGAAAAATATATTTGTTTACCGACCAAAAAGATTTTATATTATCTTCACGTGATAATCTATCTCTATTTAAAAATTCATCCAGCTCTGAATTGAACAATCTTGAGTAATATTCCATTTTTGATTCTTTTTGGCTTTTATTTGATTTTTTTTTATCCAAGTTGCTGGAAATATGTTGTTTATCTAAATATAATAATATTGAACTATTTTTTTTATCATTATTATTATTATTATTATTATTATTATTATTATTATTATTATTATTATTATTATTATTATTATCATCATCATTATTATTTAAATCATTGGAGTAGTTAAAAAAGCCATTATTTGAATAATTATTATTACTACTAATATTTTGATTTTGATTTTGATTTTGATTATGATTTTGATTTTGATACAAAGATTGACTAAGATTTAATGATCTAAGGTGATTTTCAATATAGCTAACTGGTAACCTTGAAAAATGTTGATTTAAAGTATCTATTGCTGTCTTCCAACCTTGATTCCAAGTTGGATGTTTAAACATTAAACCTTTATAAAATGGATCTATTAAATATGAATTGTAAAATTTTTCATTTCTAACTTTGTCATCCATTTTAGAATAATATTTCGATAATACAGCAATACCTTTTTCTATATGAATTAATAGATCATGACCTTTCAATCGTTGTTTTAATAAATCGAATTTATCAAAAATCATATTAATTTGAACCCAAGCAGTGGAAATATTTGCTTGAAAACATGATTGAGCTAACGTGCAATTATAAAACAATTCATATATCTCTAAAAATAATTTCAATTGAAAAAAATGATGTTTATCTGGATAATAATTTGCCCCATATTTTAAACCATTAAAATAATTTGAAAAATTGACATCGAGGATTGCTTCTTCCATTGATTGAATTTTTACTAAATTTGTATAAAAAGCATTGAACCTTTGATCGTTATCAAAATGTGACATTTTTTGAAATTTTATATTATTATTAACACAAGTTGAATTAAATTGGTTTTCAATTTGTTTAATTTTTAATTTTGTCATAAATCTTTTAAAAATTATATAAAATAAATTTGGATCTTCACTATTGTTTTCATCAACAAGTTCAAGAGATGAGGTTATCTCTTTTACCACCAAATTTAATATATGGGCCAAACAACCAACATGGTTTTCTTCCATGTATAAACTTTTTCCTCCAAATCGATCATTTAATAAAATTTTAAATTCTCTAGCAAAACATGTATTCACATTTGCATTATCACCCATTGAATGGGCAACTCTTGATAAAACTTCATCACCACATCTTTCGATAATTGAATTAAATACTGATTGGGCATAGGTGGCACCAGTACAATCAGGAGTTTGTATAAAATCAATTAATATTTGATTACATTTTTCTTTTTCATACCACTGAAGTGCAATACCAAAACCAGTGGTATTTCCTGAAGTGGCATCAATTAATACAGTGTAAACAGTACTTTGATTGTGATTTTTAAATTTATTTTTTAATTGATCTTTATATAATTCAAATATATCCATTCCAGATTTTTTGATGGTATTGCCACTAAACAATTGAGCTTTTGGATTTAGAAGAAGAATTAATTTTCGGAAGGACTCATTTTCTACTACCGAAAATGGAAGATTTGATGATACCACATATAATGTTGTAAGGTATCTACAATTATAAATTTTATTTAATTAGAAATCAACAACAAATATTTTTTTTTAAATAATTAATATATAAAAACTTACCTTTCTAAAACCTTTAAACTTTTTTTACTATCGTTTTCATCTTTATTTCCTTCAAAAATTTTTTTAAATTCTTCTTGATGTATTTCATATTGTTTTTTTTCTATAGAAAAGATTCCGTGTGCTTTCTCTATATAAATTTAATTTTAAATATATTAATATACAATAAAAATTTAATTTTTTGTTTAAAAAAAATATGTTTT